GGTGGGGTCGTGTAGGGTTTGGTATTAGATAATTAAAAAAGAAAAAAAAATGCTGGTTCCGTCTAATAAGGGCATAATGCACAACTATTGGATGGTTTGGACATATTTGGGCCGGACTAATAACGACGAGCATATTTATCCTATTTCGCATAGTTTATGGGCATATTTGGACTTTTTCCCTTTTTTAATTTCTCTTATTACATATAGAACTCTAATCCAAAATTGTCAAGTCTTCCCGTTGGCCGTTTGTATTCAATGCCAAAGTAAATATGGTAGGCTTGCTTCTATTCTTTTCAAGGTTCCTGTCTTTGGCTGCTCCTTTATTTCCTAACTCCTCCAACAAAGCTAGATCGCATCACCTCCCTCTGCCCGTTGATCATATCTACCTCAGCTATTGCTTCCCCACCTTATAGCTCGAAATCAATTACTGATCATTTTAGGTGAAATAATAGTTTTGGACACGTGTTTTTGGGCAAAGAAGAAGTGCGAGATAGAGAGAGGAGGCTGGTCTTTGAAAAGAGAAGAAGAGGGAGATTTATGAATTCCTTGAGTGGGTCTGTGGTGACACTCGTGGATAACATTGATCCTTGAAATTGTCGAGAAAGTACACAATTGTAGGTTTTCTGGTGAAATTGGGAAAAGAGTCAAAGACCCAGTTCAGCTGTTAGCGTACAGATTGTTTTAGTTGCAATGAGTTCAGGAAATGTGGGGCGGCTGCCATTAATGAATGTTGTTAAATTTAAAGGAGTGCCAATTCTGCGACAATTGCATTTGTAGGAATGGTTGCTCAGGACTTCACCTCAAAACTGGTGCATTGTAAATGATGGAACCAATGAACCCACAATTGTCATGGGTATTTCAGGGCGAGCCATCAATTTTCACCCTTTATTTATGGTATGACTCTTTTTTTCCATAGTAGTACTTTTGCTAGAATTGTTTCTTAATTGTTTTTATTGGCAGGTTCATTATACAACTTGTTTTGATGATTGGATTTGCACTTTTCTTCTGCTTCACTAATTAATCCTTCACCATCTTTAAACTATATAGTGCTTGTGGGAAATGATGGAGCCAGGAAGGGGATTCGAAAAATACGAACCTAAAGCAATTTAACATATGTGTGTCATAAAGACACTGATAACGAGGCCAGTTTTTCCGCTTTCTAATATTATTTAGGTTGTATATTCTTTGGAGCTAAGCTATCAGTATTAATTGCACTGTTGTTGTGCAAGTTCTGATCTATCAACTTACAATTGATGTAAGAAGTTACGAGTACTTGATGTATGCCATAGCCGTAATGATAGGACATTTTTGTTGTATGTCTCTAATTGAGTTAATTGTATAAGAACATTAACCATTATCACAGAAAACCAACTGAACTTCTTGAAATCGGTTCTGTTTTGCAAGACAAGATTCCAGTAGTAAAGAGGTTTACTGGAGGAGGCACTGTAATAGTCGATCACAGGATAATTTTCATCTCCTTCATATGCAATAAGGATGTTGTCCCTACTGTACAACCATATCCTAGGCCATCATGTCATGGAGCAGCCAACTCTATAGCAAGGTGTTTCAAGGAGTTGGGGAAACAAACAATATTTGAATTTGCTCGTTTTCTCTTCTTCTCCGATATTTTCTTATGTTCAAAGCTAACCCAAGAAAAACCATTTATAGGGGATGTAATAATGAAGAAAATTTCAAAGGAAAATGACCCATGTAATACTTTTGAAGTTTTTTGTTTGATGCTTGAGAATTGCATCCGCTGTAGATGAGTATTCGTCATTTATAGTTTTGAAAGCATATTCAAGAGTTGGTCTTGTTAAGCTAGGAATTCAGGTTCATGGACTATTGAGGAAATTGTGCACTGCTGGTGATTTTCTTTCTCTGTTAATTGAGTTTCACGAAGGTAACATGGCTGTCAATGGTGAATACTTACCCATTTTCGTGACTTTCAAGTATTGTTTGTTTTCCTATTTTCTTCTTCATCCCAAACTTGCACCCAATTACTGTTCGTCAAAAAATTACCAGTCGCCAATTTCCAGTAAGGAGGAAGGGGTTCGAATTTTGGATTTACTTCATATGGGTCGGGTTAATTATGGATGGGTCTAATATCCACGTGGACCAACAAATCAATGCCACCTATTTAATTAAAAGCCCCACATATGTCATCTCATACTTCCATTAAAATGAGGGGCATTTTTAATCCGAAAATAAACGTTGGGGGTATTTTTAGACCAATAGGTGGAAGGAGGGAAAATTTAAACCATTTCTAATACGTTAAGGGCATTTTTGACCCTTTTCGAAGGGCATATATGCACAACTATTAGACGGTTTGGACATATATGGGCCGAACTAATAACGACGAACATATTTATCCTATTTCGCATAGTTCACGGGCATATTTGGACCTTTTCCGATTAAAAAATAGCCAAATTTATAAGCGGTCATTCAAAAATAGCTACAGTTTCAAAAGTAATTGAAATTTAACCATTTTTCATGTAAAGATAAATCTAAATGAAAACACTGTTTAAAATCCGAAAAAATACTCCAGCATAATATACTGGAGTTCTATTATAAGTATACTGGAACTCCAGCATATTATAATGGAGTTCCATCATAAGTATATTGGAACTCCAGCATAATACACTGGAGTTCCAGTATGATTTATCGGTTCAGTATAATATGCTGGAAGTTCATACACAGGTGCTTCAATCTCAAGTATTTTATGCTGGAACTTTCCGCGTGTTGGAGTTCCAGCATAATATGCTGGAAGTTTTACACATGTGTACCGATCTTCAGTATATTATGCTGGACGGGTTCCTGTTGCAGCAAAATAGTGGCTAATTTTTAATGACTTTGCAAACGCTGGCTATTTTTGAATGACCAGTTCGAAAACTAACTAGACCGTGTTATTTTTACAAGAAATTGAGCAAACTTCATTTATAGCAATCCGAAAAAACTAATGACAATAGGTAGCTATAAAATAAACCATATAATTAATAGCCCAAATCAATTACAAGGGCTAGCCCAAAAATACTGTCACTTTCCCTCCCCCTCCCCCTTCAAATTTCAAACTTTTCAACTCCGTAACCTGCTTTAATCAGTGACGAAGCTAGAAAATTTTTCAAGGGTGTTCAAACTTGAACAAGAAAAGAAAATTCTCAACAAGTAGGTGCACCGAAAAATTTAAATCAAACAACGTGATATCGAGCTAAATTATAAAAATGCAGGTAATAATACAAACAATTGGATAAATGCAAACTAATATAAAAGAAGCGTCGAAAAGCGATTCTACTTATTTTGGTAGATTGATTTTGAGAAACCGAAGTTATTTTTGGTACTTTGTTGTAAAATTTCCACAAGTTCATTGCAACTTCAATTTCCTGAATGTATAAAGTACCAATCAAGTACACCTCAATTCCATTCTAGCAGTGCATCTATATGAATATTTTGTAGCCATTAAACTCTATTTAAAATTAGGCTCATCTCATTCCAATACTAAATTTTTTGCTTTTTATGGCAAATTAGAATTCTCTGAAGTCTCACACTTATATCTATATGAACACACAAGCCTTTTCTCAATGAACCAGTTCATGCACTTATACTAAATGGAAGCTTCTTAAAACAACTTCGAACCCGTGTTAAACTTGGATTCAACAAATTTACTAATTTATTTTTCCAGATGATAGGATTAGCATAGTATTCTAAAACTGTTGCACAACAATCCGGTGGACAGAAAGTGCCCCCACCCCTATACCAAACAAAATAGAGATTTCAATCTATGTATCAATCAAGTACACCTAAACTAGCCGGGCGCTACATGAATATTCTATATCCATTAGTTTCTATTTAGGCTCAAATCTCTTGAGTAAACCCTTTTTAACCACAGTACTAAACCAAAAATCAGAAAGAGAAAAACTAAAACTGTTGTGAATACTGAAAACTAAAACTTTGAAGCAAAACTAAAACTTTGAAACAAAAACAGAAAAGAAAAGACAATTAGACAAGAGTTTCTAAGTTCTAACCACAAAAATGGAGCAATGGAGCTGTTGTGAATACAGAATAGCGCCGAGAGAGAGATAGAGCAACCAGAACTTCCCCAAAATTTCTAGGTTTTTTCTTTGTCTGCGTGAGGAATGAGCAATTGAGAGCAGAGGGATCAATTTTGACCATTTAGTGATTTAGGGATTTTGATTTGTTTAATCTAACGACGTCGTTTAGTCTTTAAAAAAAAATAAAACGCAACACAAATTGTGTGATTTGCCACTGGGCTACCCCTCTTCTTTGTTGCAAGGGTGTTCAATATGTATTACATATATGTAAATTCAAAATTTTTACCGGTATATACAGTGTAATTTTTCGACGAAGGGTGGTCAACTACACTGTAGCTTCGCCCTTGGCTTTAATCCTTACCTTCCCCTTACTCTGCCACCTACTTAGAGAAATTCGAAGTAAGTTATTTGGGCATTTTAAGACGGGGCACATAATTAGTTTGTGAAACGGTCCAATTTTCTTCTCGCTAATAGTTTAGGTCAGATTACTTTTGTTGTTACTTGAATTGGCCAAACTTACCCTATCGACTACCTGCAAAAGCTTTTCAACATGGATTTTTTTACAATAAAATGGTCAAATTTATCCTAGAACTATGCAAAGTGATTTCATATTTTGCTCTGAAAATTGAATAACAAAAACAGTAACGCACTTAAATTAAGTTTGGAATAATAAGTCTATTGTATATAAATTATATAGTGACAGTCTATTTTGTATAATTTTTGTATAGTGACAGTTTATGTTGTATATATTTTGTTAGAGTGACAATGGATTTTTAAGTGTCACTATACAAAATATATATAAAATAGACTGTCACTATACAAAAATATAAAATAGACTGCCACCATACAATTTATATATAATAGACTGTCAGTATACAAATATATATGAAATAGACTGTCACTATATAAAATACAATCAGACCTCTCTATAACTGCATCTCTATATAACAACCTTTCACTATAAAAGCCAATTTTTTTTGAACGGATTTTATATTATGTTATAATATATGTCCTTTATAACAGCACCTCTTGGTATCCTCAATATGCGTGCTAGGGATCTCTTGGTATCCCGCACCTCAACTCAAATCATAAATACGTACATGGGATCTCCCGGGATGCCGTCCCGTAGTGCCAAAGTAAAAACACACAGCAACAACACAAGGAATACTCAATTAAGCCAAATTTCGTACCAACTAAAACAAGTAATTCTAACATAACATGCTTCACATAATACAATTACGACAGTTTAAGCAATAAAGCAATTAAGTAAATTAAACATGTTTTTCTAACCTAACAACAGATTTAAATTTCAAGTAGAGTAAGCAGGAAAGGAAAACACAATTAAAGCTACTTAAGCGAAAACAAAATTTTCAATAATTAGCACAAGTACGCACTCATCACCTCACGTACAAGGCATTTCAATTACCACAATACCAAATCCTAAGGGGAATATCACCCACACAAGGTTAGACAAGCCACTTACCTCGAACCAGCTCAAAAGTCAACCCGAAATCGCGTTCTTGCCACGAGTACTCGACTCCAAATGGCCCAAATCTATTCAAGTCAATTGCATAATGTAAATAACACTTCAAGTAACTGATTCTACAAATAAATTCTAAGCTAATACGCGAAATTAGGTAAAATAACCAAAACGCCCCTCGAGCCCACGTCTTGGAATTGGGTGAAATTTACATTTTCAGAATTCTCATACTCTCACACGTCTATACATAACAAGAACACTGAAATCGGAGTTCAATTGTCCCCTCAAATACCCATGTTAAGGTCTCTTAGTCTCAAGCCCTAATTACCCATTTTTCCCAATTTTTTTCACTACTAATTAGGCCTTTAATCACATATAAACGAGTTATGAAGTTAAAAATATTACCTCCAAGTGATTCCCCTTTGATTTCCTCAAAAATCACCCTCAAAAGCTTCAATCCCGTTCAAAAATGGTGGAAAAATGAAGAAGGGTCGCGGATGGGCTATTTAAATACTATCCAGATATTCCTTCTTCGTGAACGCGGAAGGCCCCTTGCGTTCGCAAAGCACAATTTGCTTGGGTCCAGATTCCTTCATCGTGAACGCGATACCCATGACGCGAACGCGATGCAAAGCCTCCTCCTCCTATGCGAACGCACGAACTCCATCGCGAACGCGTAGGTATAAAACATCCCAGCTTTGCGAATGCAGGAGACTCGCGAACGCGAAGCACAAAAACTCCCCCAGCCCCAGCTCCTCTTCACGAATGTGAGACCCTATTCGCGAACGTGAAGAAGGAAACCAGAACTGGGCTGCTGCAGTTTTTCTACAATTCCAACAAGTTCAAAAATGCCCCGTTGAGCATCCGAAATACACCCGAGGCCCCCAGGACCCCAACCAAACACACCAACCAATCCTAAAATATCATTCAAACTTGTTCCAATCTTCGGAACGCTCAAAACAACATCAAAACACCAATTTAGCTTCGGATTCAAGACTAAGAACTTCAAAACTCTCAAAATACACTTTCGATCAAAAGTCTATCAAACCTCGTTCGAATGACCTGAAATTTTGCACACTTCACATTCAACACTACGGAGCTACTCCAACTTCCGAATTCCATTCCGACCCTCGGATCAAAATCTCACTATCGAACTGGAAACTTAAAAAATTTAACTTTCTTCATTTCAAGCCTAATTTAGCTACAGACCTCCAAAACCCATCATCCGAACACGCTCCTAAACCCGAAATCACCCAACGGAGCTAACATAACTATCAGCATTCCTTTCCGAGGTCGTCTTTACACTGTTCCGACTACGGTCAAATTTCCAAAACTTAAGCTCTCATTTAGGGATTAAGT